TTAAAATCTAATCCCCAAAAAAAAAAAAAAAAAAAAATAGCCTGAGGCTGGAATCATTACTGATATACAAATGAGTTTCCCAATATGATATATATATATATATTTTCCATTCTGCCATACGGGTTTCCCCTTGTTGATGATCCTGCTATCTCATCTAGGGACTAGTTGCTGGAGATGATAAAAGCCTGAGATGATCATATCTAAATTGAGGCATGCTAGGAAAATTGGAGGATGAAGGACCCAGGTAAAGAAACTTCACGTTCAAGAAGTCTTAAAGACTCGAATTGGCTAAATGAAAAAGAAAAAAAGGAAAGAAAGAATACAATGCCTGGTATTGCTCTCTTCGACTTTTGAAAAGTTTATAGTTCAATCTTTGAGCTGCCTAATTGGGAAAGTAAAATGGCCATATCCATTCCCTGCACCATAGTAGGAACAGCTGTTTCATAAGGGCAATCCCGAGAAAATCCAACCTTTCCGGATTTCTGGACTTTCTTTATGCAAGATTTGAACTTCTCGTGGCACTTGATACTATTCAAACCTGAAAAAACAGCATTTGTAAGATAAACTATTACCAATACCATGATTCACATTGAGGCATAAAAAAAGCATGCATTGTTCCGCTCTGATAAAGTATTTCACTATAGCGTGGGCACATTGCTTCATTTTTTACTCTTTCACAATAATAATGGGTAGTCATCATGTCATAAACTAGACCAGAATCGAATCCCACACGACCAGGTCTAAAGAAGGCCTCCATGGCCATACCCCTAGCGCATTCACAGGAATTTTTTTTAGCCTCTCTAGGATTCAGATGTTGAATGATGTGGGGGGAAATGCAGTTGACAACCAAGCTAAGCCTCCAGGAGTGATATAATCTCTTTCGTCAATACACTATAGGAATCCTTCTTTATATGCTGGTGGTTTAGCCAATAAAATCCGAATTAGACCACTTATGTCGCATGTTCTTCTTCACCCTCTTGCCCCCTCATTTTCTGTCTCCTGGTAAGTCAATTCACCTTGTTCTAGTTAAGGGATTATTCTAAATTCTCAGAATCCTCCAAAATGAGGAAAAGAAGAACCAGAATGGGCAAGCCTAGGATTCGAGTGCCATTCTAATGGCCTCACGATCTTTTCTAGTGGTATACCTACCGTCGCGTTCTCTAAACCTCAGCCCTTCATTTGTTTTTTTCCGTCCTATTGTAAAGGAGGGAACCAAGCCCTTTTTAGATGGATATAATCATCATCATCATATGAATGTGGGCCGAAAACAAAAATCCTGTGAATTCAAGGCCTTTTTAACTTTTTAACTACTAACTAAATTATTAATCTACCAAAACAAAAATGGCCTAAAAAAGGCAAACAGCAAATTATAAAAACAAGAAAAAAATTTAAAGCAAATAAAAAAAAAGGAAAGAAATTTAAAGGTACCTTTCTTCTCAACGCACTCATCGTGAATCTTACAACAGGCATCGACATCATCACACGGTTTCTCTCCAGGACACCCAGTCCACCCTACTCCACAATACTTCCCGTATCTAATTCCAACCGCTTTTGTTCAGAAAACAAAATTATTAATAGAATTATTCTAATTCAATAGGGAAACAAAGTTTTTTTTTTTTTAACGGCACTTACAATTACAGTTCTGGGCAACACAGGTTCTACTGCATTTCTCCTGTATAAACAAATCAAATCAATACAAAAAACCCCATCGATATTGATCCATAAACAAAGGATCGAGAGACAATCAGCTAATTAAATTACCTGAGAATCGTTGTTGTTGGCGCATTCAGCGAAGAGGGAGAGGAAGATTAATGCTGAAGCCAATGCAACAGCGACACGGGCTCCAACAGAGAAGCGCACGCCAACGAACATCCTATCGAGTTTCGCTCCCTCTTTGTTTCTTCTCCAATTTGCCCGCTACAGTTACAATTACAATAAAACGACTCCTCTCTGGCCCATGGTATGACGTGCTTCCCTCCAATTACCTAATGCCACTTCAGCTTTACAGTGGCATTAACCCACATGGCCAAATAACCGAACACTCAACCAATGGGCCTCATAATAAATAACAACAGAAACTATTGGATATAGCTTGTGTTCTGTACAAAAGATCTTTCATATAATACTTGCAAACACTATCTTCTTTTTTTTTTTTCACGTCTTACTTTTACTTATTAATTAATTTTTTTAAAAAATAAATAGTTTTTTCATAAATTCAAGATAATTGTTTTTATAAAAATAATTGTATAAAATGTATTGATATATTTATTTTTTTCTTAAAAAAAAAGAGAGGAAATAATCATGTTTGAAAAAGTTATTTGAATGGGAAAGATTTATAAAACTTTATAAATCAAATCAATAATTTTCTAATAATAAGAATAATATAATTTGAAATATATAGTTAGTCTAAAATACAAAGAATTATCATAAAACATGAAAAGTAGTACTAGGATGGGTGATGTATGGGGAAGTTCTCTTGTTGCACCCCTCCTTTTTTGTCTTTTAAGGGGGTGGTATAGTGGCAAGGGGCATGAGATCTGCATAATAGGTCTCGAGTTCGAGTCAAAATATGCATATTTTATAAAAGTCTGGGATAATTAGTGTTTTACTCACTTACCTGGGCTTATAAAGTTTGCTCTTTGAGAGATGAGATTTTCTTGGATCCAAAAAAAAAAAAAAAAATTTTTCTGGACTAAAAAAATATATAATAAATTTTCATAATCTCGGTACAAAATCAAATAATAAAAAAATATAAAATCAAATTACTAAAAACAAAACAAAGAAAAATTGGCATGCATGGAATGGTTGTGCAAGAATGGATTAGATGCATATCGGCCACCTGATACTAGGTAGAGAGAGATGAACTATACATTGTTTGCACAAAATATTCATTTGAAATCGAGCCTCATTGGTTTCTGTGCATCCAAACTCAATTTAATCATCATTTTTAGCCCAAATTAGTTTACAAGTTGTATTATACTAAGAATCGGATTATTTTAAAAAATATATATAATAAAAAAATATTAATTTTATAAAAAAACTATTTAATATTATTATTATTAAAATCATCCTAATAAATTAACCTTTAAACTTTTAAACCTGACTCTTTTTCTAACTTCGATTTTAAGTATTAAATTTTTTCTTGTTTTTCTCTCATATATTATAAAGTAGGGTGTCTTGGAGAGAACCATTTACTCCATTAGCTTAATAGGGCAACCATTTACTTTACATAATTTTTCTCTTTCATATTTTTTCTCTTTTATATTTAACTTTAAGTATTGGGAATTCTCTTGTTTTATGAAGGATTTTTTTAGACGAACTTTCACCATTGATTAAGCCTAATAACTAGGACCACATAGCCTAGGCCTAGTAGCATAGTCAATGAAAAGCCTAATTTATATATGAAGTTTTTGTTTCAATTTTATTAATGGCATCATCTATAGAAACTAAACAAAAAGCTAGTTTATTCCCTTTTATTATTCACTAAAACGCTTTTCATGAATAACAAAACACTAGGATAAAGTAGAGTAATTGATCTCTTTATTATAGGGATTATAACACCTGTAGGTCTTCAAAAAGTCTCCCATCAAGTACAAGTATTTAATGATATTGTTGTAGCAATGCGAATACATCTTCATAGACTTTTACCAGTACAACAACAAACACCATTAATTGTGCAATGAAAACTCTAATTCCTTGAAGAGACATGATATAATGACATGCATACAAGTAATGCTTGCATTTCTACGGTTAGAAGAATCTACACACATCATTCTTACAAGAGATGATCCAGTTACAAATGATCTCTATATGAGACTCCCTTACACAACATAAAAGACCTAGGCATGAGACAAGCTCCTTGAGCTAGGAAGGAAAAAATATAGCCTCACCAAGTGGGAGAATCCCTAGTTTGTAACTTAATATTGCATACTCGACTCTTTAAAGATTTTCTCTGTAAAGGCCAGTGTAAACAACCATGAAAGACTCATAAATCTAAAGAACATATATAAAATATGAGAAGCATCATCGAACTTATCACATATGACAATAATACTATGTGTAAAGTTCTTCTAACAATGTTTTGCGAATCTGCATGAGCATTATGCCACAGTCTAGAGCCTGGTTCTATTCTCTAGTTTCTTAGCTTCAAGCTCATCTCTCATTTTAAAATTAGTATACCATCCAAAAAAGAACATAACAAAGCTCTCCATTATCATATGACAAGAAGATGTGTACCGTCCTCTATAATTATAATGCAATCATTACTTAATTTCTTATGAATATTACAATGTTCAGAGTAAAAGTTTTGTTTTTGAAATGTTAGATTTGAAAACCTATTAAAATTTCAACAGAATCTTCTTTATACCGAGAAATCTCAAGTTATCAACTAAAACCTATTATGCTTTAATATTTAACCGATTCACATTCCAAAAATTGTTCAATAATTTTAGACTTATCACATCACAACTCAACACATCATATCCATCACATTTGATTATGGTTCACTACATACATATATTTATCAACATAAAATTCTTTGTTGAAAGTTTTCAAATTTAATCATCTATAGAAATAATTAGATATAAATAAAATTAAGGATCATTTAACTGCTATGTTAAGACTTTATTATAAGCATTATCAAATTAAAATCTATATAAACTCATCATGGATTTAATTAATATTTAAGTCCAAAACATTGTAAAAAGATAGCATAATAGTTACAACAAAATATTTACATTTATATTATCATTCCATAAAATTACACATAGTATTCAACATCATTAATATTCTTATAAAATATAAAATGCAAGAGTTTCATCATCTATTGATCCTACCAAGGATGAGAGAATCTGGAAATTATTTTATACCATAAAATAATTAATTAATATGACAAAGTTTTTCATATATGATTTAATGAATTTATTGAGTAAGGTTGTATATCTATTAGGAATTTAATTGACAATTTAATTTAATCCCTCTTAATCTTTTCTTCACACCTTTTACATCAATCCTTTAAATATCCAAGAGATTTTTCCCTTAACCTGAACCCGATAACTGACCATCCTTTAAGGTAATGTTTTCATCACCTATAAACAGGGCATTAATTACATCCAAGATATCCAAATTCATAACCCATAATATGACATGAGTCCTTATAACAAGGAACTAGCCATCCAATCTATAATAGAGCACTAGCTTTAAACTAAAAAATTAATCATATAGCATATAACATGTTGCTAGTCCTTAAACTAAAAAACTAGTCATCTAGCCCGTAACATTACACTAGTCCTTAAATTAAA